CAGGTGCCCGCCAGCAGCACGCCCCTGAAGCCCCTGCAGATCTCCACCGTGCCGCAGCTCCCAACCGTGGCCCCTTCCCAGGTAAGCGTGCCCATTTGAGGAGAAATTTCCAGCTAATCATTAACATGATTTGCAGGTTTTGTGTGGCTATTTTGACTGCATGCCGGTTTAATTAGGCGATAAGAATATTATTGCTCATTCCTAATTCCTCTATATTTCTTTGTTATTTGTTTGGTGAATCAGAAATCTCCTTTGTGCCCAACTCTACGCCATCCAGTTAAACGCAGCTCCAAAATGGCAATAATTGTTTTGGGGTTGTTTTGTTTTGGTCTTTTGCACTGTTCCTTCTGGCACAATCTCTTCCCCATCCCAGGCTTGAGGGCATGAGCAGTTGCCTGTTTTTATTGCTATTTTCTGACCTCCTGACTTCACCACTTCCCTCAACACTTGCCAGCCGTGTCGGTGTTGTTCTGCTCTGGGTCTGTTCTCTGGAGCAGGGACAAACGCTTCCCTTGGCCTGGGAAGGTGGATGGTGCTGTGTGTGATAGTGACAGCACCATAATGGGAAGCAGCTTGTGTCAAAGGGCAGGAGCAAGCTGCTGCCGTGATGCCAGTCTGCTCCATCACTGGGAGGTTTTGATTGTAAAAACCCTTTCTCTGGGCTCTTCCGTGCTGCCTGAGTTGCAGCTTGTTTGAAAAACAAGGGTTTAAATTGCCCCACTTAATTTTGCATGAAAGAGTTTTGCGTTAGGTCTGGCCCAATTCCTTTTAATTTCTGTTCAAATGAAAGCAGCTTTTAATTAGGATGTTGCTTGAAGTCTTCAAGCTGGTGTTAGAAGTAGTTCTAAGCTTCTAAGGTATAAAAGCATCCCCCTCAAATGTATTTTTTTGCTTTTACTAATGATTTAAGCGTAAATCAGTTTTTATTACTGCTTGGGAAGCTCAGGGAATGAATGGAAGTGATTAACAAACAGACATAATTATCCTCCTGGCACAGGTGGATTTTGGGGACTTGTGTGGCAAATGAAACTCCTCTATACCATCAGTGAAAGCACTGATGCAGTTTATGCAATATTATATTTTTTTCAGATTCCTCAGTTTCCTGTCATTCCTGCAATTACTCCTCTGGCGGGGCTTGACAGCCTTCCTCCAAACCTGTCCGACATCCCCACTGCAAACGTGCCCCCCATTCCTGCTCCCTCGCAGTACTTCGCTCCAGCCGTGATCCTGCCCAGCCTGCCCATGAACCCCACGCTGCCCATGGCGCCCAACTCCCCCGCCCTGCCCAT